CATAGAGACTTTTCTTTAGGAAGGCTGGCTCACAGGCCTCTTTCCAGGGTCACAAATTTGATGTAGCAGAGTTGGGCACACCACAGGCTGTGCACCGTAGAAGGTATAGTTGGACTGACAACCTGCTTTCTCCCAAAATGGCCGCTTCTTCACTGAGCTTCCTTGGGGGAGTTTATGCCTTAAATGACCTGCCACAACCTTTCTGAACAAGAGCTACCCCAGAATCAGAGGCAGGAGCTCAGAGGCACTAATTAGCATCCCAGAAGAGTCCTTTTCCCTGTCTTCAGTGGCTTGGGGGTTGGGGACTCTGGGTGTGGCCTTGGTCACAAGGTGAGAGTAGACACCTCCTCAGGGTGAATTATCAAGGTGGTGTGCTTGAAATTTTGTTGTGGAGCTGTCAGTGCTCTGGCAGAAGATATTTTGGCCTGTCTGCCTCCTAGTCATGCTCTGTATTTTTTTCTCTCTCATTTTAAGAAGATTCACAGCTCACTGCTCAATCTTGCTTCTCTCACATGAGCTATTCTGAGCTGTGAGCTGCATGGGTTGCTAAGTGACAAGCTGGAGCTGAGGGCTCACTCTGCACTCAAGCCCCTCCACGTTGTACTTTAAGTAATTGAGGCATTCCTTTCAGAGAGCACCATGCAACTTCATCATCTGATGCTGCTCTGCTTATGAAAGCAGCTTTACAACCCACCCCAGCTACTACAGGAGGATAATTAGAGTACAACTAGGCTGCTGTCAACACCTCCCCATTGGGGATGGAGAGGGTTGTTTCATGTTGCCGCTGCCACCTCTCCTTTAAAGAAGCTGTATAGGGCTCCTGAGATGGCTCAGTGGGTTAAGGCATCTGGCACCAATCCTGATGACCTGAATTTAGGCCCCTGGATCCACATGGAAAGAGAGAACTGATTCCCATAAGTTTTTCTCTGACTCCCACATGTGCTCTGGCATGCCCCATGCCTCTTTCTCTGACACACACATACATATTTATTAATTAATTGATTAAAAAATGAAAAACATGGGCTAGAGAGATGGCTTAGCGGTTAAGAGCACTGGCTGCTCTTACAGAGGACTCAGATTCAGTTCTCAGCATCCACGGACAGCTAATGACAGACCATAATTCCAGTTCCAGGGAGATCTGACACACTTTTCTGGTCTCTGTGGACACTGCACACATGTGCTGCACATACATACATGTAGGCAAAACATTCATACACATAAATAAATATAAATTTAAAACCTCTAAAGCAGGTGTACAGACACTTCCTTCACAGTCACTGGCTGTTCCTCCCAACAGCTTTCCCTGGAGAGGAAGCTCTTCATGAAATAGAGTCATTTTCCTCATGAGGAGATTGACTCTTGGGTAAATAATAGGTCTAGTCTAGGTGCACACAACTAGTATGTGGCCTAGTCCTCCAGTGGCTGCCCCCTCATTCAGAGCACCCACTCAAGTCTTCCCTCCCCCTCCCCACCGGGCATTTCACACTGGCTGTCTCAGGCACTCTGGTCACCTTGCCATTCCTGGAATTCCACATGCTACTTCCTTTCAGGAGTGTATGTCACTCCTCTCTGCCAGTGCTCTGTCCTGTCATTTAGGCCTCTGCTCAGAACAGATCCTGATATCCCTGCTCCCCTTATCCTCTGTTCCCTCTCTGTTGATCCTGACTCAGTGGATGGGACTCCCATCAAGGAGTCAGGAGGACCTGAGTAGTTTGAGCAACTCATTTCCTCTCTTTTTTATTCTTTAGTTTATTATTTTATGTGTATGAGTGTATTGCCTGTATGTATGTTAGTGCACCCATGTCATGCAATATCCAAGAAGGTCAGAAGAGGATGTTGGACCTCCTGGAACTGGAGTTACAGGGTTGTTAGCCACCATGTGGGTGCTCAGGAACTGAACCCAGGTCCTCTGCAAGAGCAGCCAGCACTCTTACACTGAGCCATCTCTCCAGCCCCATTCCCTCTCTTGGAGCCTCAGTTTCACATATATAAAATGAGAATGCCATATTGGATAATTACTAAAGTCCTTTAAGCTTTAATTTCTCAGAATTTGGTTCTGTCATCTCCTGAACGTAATCATTGCACATAGAAAGCCCCAACTGTGGCTACGGCACCTTAGCCTGCAGGTCTATCTCAAAAGCTTGCATCCTGCAGACCTGGTGGTGCAGGGTACTTGGGCCCACACCCTACAGTGCAGGGCATTCGACTGCATCAGTGACATTTTGGGAGAAGGAAGGTCATGCAGCATCAAGCATGGCTCTGGCTGCTTGGATGCAACTGTAATTGTGGTCTGGCTTTTCCACCTTTGTCCTTGAGTCTTCCTAGTTTAAAGCAGTGCTACTTTTTCCTCCTAACCCTTTCTCACATCGGTGACTGGAGCTGCCACTCACCAGGTATTCATGGGGAAACATGCTCCAATTGGTCAGCAGCAAGATGAATTTTGCAGCTGGTGGGAATCTCCCTAGTTTTTTCTACTTTGGGCCTGATGATCAGGCAAATCAGACCTAATGCATTGCAGACTGCTCTGTCAAATCCCGTGGGCAGGGTAACTGGAGAAAGGCTCTGAGCCAAGGCACCCCAGTGATTGCAATCTCCAGACCCCCAACCCTTTTCCCTGGTGGCTCTAATCTTCATTAATGCTTTCAAGGTGAGCTGTGGGGGAGGAGGTTCCCAGACAAGCAGCCCTTGCATGCCTTAGGCTTCCTCCATTTGAGTGCTATGGGGCAGGGACCCGCTGGATGTCTGTGTGTGGGCTCATCGTGACATCCCAGGCCTGGACACAGGCCTTCCACTGCATAACTCTGAGAGTACCCTTCACTTGTATAGCATGGGCAATACAGAAGCTGGGGAGAGGGGCTCTAGGCCTGAAGGGTCCACAGACACAGAAGTGCCACCTTCTAGGGCACATTCAAGAACACAGTGGGATATTCAGCTAACTCATGGTGGAGTCCCAACAGAGAGATTCTTACTGAATTCTGAGATCTTTTAGGCAGGCTGACTGTCCCAGTTCCTCCAAGGCCCAAGACCCTAGGGTCTTGTTCCTGGGGTAGGAAAAGACAGTTGTAAAAGACTCGCTGCTGCCCTTGAATGAGAAGTTCAGGGTGCTGTCACCAGCTAATATGATCCATGGCCTGGCCCGAAGAGGGCTAGCCAGTACAATAGGCTAGCATGGACAGTTGTCACCACCTGCTAGGTCTCACTTCTTCACTACATGTGCAGCAGGTGGATTGACCAGGTCCCCTCAAAGGTCAGGTCTTGGCTGGAGTCAGGCAGGAGGAGTATGTCAAGCTCAGCAGAGGGGTGCCCTGTGCCCCTCTGTCATACAGCAACCTTGCCTGTACTATTCAGGTGGCACAGACATACAAGGAAGAGTATAAAGAGCCCACCTTCTGGAGACAGCTCATTCCCTTAATAAAGTAATTACAGAGCTGACTAATTTACATCCCTAGAAAGATGCAGGGCAATGGTAGGCTGTGTGTGTGTGTGTGTGTGTGTGTGTATTTTTTTATACTTCCATTTATCATTTTTATTTTATGTGTATGAGTGCATTCACTGTGTCTAAGTGTATGTGTGTCACACATGTGTGTGTGTGTGTGTGTGTGTGTTTAATTTTAGATCCTCCAGCCTCCCCTTAATGAGGAGGTGCCTTGAAATATAACAGAATGCTGGGATTCTTCAAAGCACTCATTTTCTTGGTGCTTTCTTTCTTTATGAGAAAGCGTGAAAGACAGATGAGGGATGGCAGGAGCCAGGGAGGGGTTTGTCTTCCCCGCCTGTGTTGTGCAGACATTATCTGCTGTAAAACTGTCGCTAAAGGATGGAGAACTAGCTCTTGGCTGCAGTGGCCCTCAGATAATGTCAGGGTTGAGCAATGACCCAGGATTTGTTGGCACCAAGCAAACATTTCTAGGGCTCTGGTGCCAGAATCTGTAGCTGAGCTCTCCTGCCAGGAAAGTGAAGGAACTCAGTAGCTGATGTCCAGGAACCCCATAGTGAGGGCTCTAGAGATTTGGGGGTTACAACTGTTAACGATGCACTGAGTGGGGCAGCCTGGGAGTCTGCATTTCTGCCGAACTCCTGGTGACTGTGGGCCTGTGGATTACATTTTAACAGGAAGAACTTAGAGAAAGCAGACACTGGCTTCCTAAGTATATCAGTTACTTTTCTCATTGCTGTGACCAAATACCTGACAAGAAAAAACTTTAGAGAAGGACTTCTTTTGGCTTATGGTTTAAGGAGACATAGTCCGTCATGGGAAAGCATGGTGGCAGGAACAGCTTGGGGCGTTGGTGGCAGGAACATGAGGCATGGCTGCGTACCCACCTCTCCACAGACCAGGAAGCACAGAAGGGAATGGTGATCTGCTTGCTCCGTTTTTTCTTTTCATTTGGTTTGGGACCTCAACCCATGGGATGGTGCTGCCCACACTCAGGGTGGGTATCCTCCTCAGTTTATCATCTCTGGAAATGCCCCCTTAAAACATGCTGAAAGATGTGCTTCACTAATGTTGTTCCTTAATCCAAACAAGTTGACAGTCAAGGTTAACTACCATACCAGGCTCCCTCCAGGTGGTTTTGACTAAGTAGAAGACAAGAGGGCTAGGTAGGTGTGAGCCACGCCATGCTATCCTAGAAGGGGAAGGCTATGGGGTTCTCTGGGAGATCTTGAACATTCTAGGCTCTGCATTATAAAAGCAATGTCATAGTAGGTAACCTTTTATTCAGGTTTGGTATATGATTTTGCTAGGTCTGCTCCATTAGGTCTCTAGCATCTTTCTAATGCTAGAGATGCTCAGGTAAGACCTATGGGAAAACTGTGTTGTTGACCTTCAGCTCCTTGGTGGGCATCCCGATGGGGACAAAGGCCAGCTCAACACTTGAGAACCCTGGCCAGGATGAAGTATGCACCTGGGATTTGATTCGGGTTCTAGCTGTCCACTTTGGACTCCTCAATTCCCCGGTGTGGTGATCTGATCCTCAAATGCTCATCTGCTTTTACAGATCCCTGGATGAGAAAGATCTGACACAAGCTGAACCCTTCCTTCTCTGTGCGCTGGGGAACAGGGCTGCACAGCCCCAGGGACACCCATGCCGAAGAACAGCAAGGTGACCCAGCGTGAGCACAGCAATGAGCATGTTACGGAGTCAGTGGCTGACCTGCTGGCCCTCGAGGAGCCCGTGGACTATAAACAGAGTGTTCTGAATGTGGCTGGGGAAGCAGGTGGTAAGCAGAAGGCAGCAGAGGAGGAGCTGGATGCGGAAGACCGGCCAGCCTGGAATAGCAAGCTGCAGTACATCCTGGCCCAGATCGGCTTCTCTGTAGGCCTTGGAAACATCTGGAGGTTCCCCTACCTGTGCCAGAAGAATGGAGGAGGTAAAAGGAAGCTCTGCTTGTATCAGGGGATCCTAAAAATTGTCTGAGCTGGGGTGGAAAGGAACATGCCTTTGCTGAGGCAGAACTGGAGTCTTTGGAGGTAAGAGTGTGGAATTCTAGAACAAGACTCATAGAAGAGTCCCACAGTGGCTCACAGATATCCAAAGACTGGAGGCCATGATAAGAATGTAAACTCTGCCTCCAGTCTGCCAGGGTTCAGATATCAGCCTGGCCAGTCAAATATGGGACCTAGTACAAGCTGTTGAAGCTCTCTGTGTCTCTCAGTACTGCATCTGTAATTTGGACACACAAGTACTTTCTGCTTTACAGGATAGCTGGAAGGATTAAATGAACTTCACATACTTCCTCAGTAAAGAACAACTGTTGCTGTCACTGTCAGACACTTAGGTACTGTTATAAGCACTTAATGGATATTGGACTCAATCACTTGAAATTTCTGAAATTTGAGCATCTTGGAATGACCAAAGCACCAGGTTCACATGGTTCACACATGGAATTCACCCAGCAACCTTAAAGATTGTTGTCCTAATTTTAAAGGCTACAAAACTAAGGCATAGATTGGTTAGATTTGTTCTGGGTCATATTCGGCTAGTGATGCGATTGACCCTGGTGGGCCTGGCCCTGGCCTGGGCCACCCCACCTTCTGGCATGTAGGAGGCCTCATACTATGCCTGGGTACTAATTCCTCTTGAGCATGTGGCCTGCTCTCAAATTGCCATCACCGTTGTCAGCATCCAGGGCAGGTGGACACCCCAGGCATTGTCTCTCTAGCATTTGGAGGGTGACCAGAATTTTCCAAAGACAGCCTGCTTGGGAGAATTTACTGAAAATAAACCCCTAGTAGGCTAGTGCTCTAGTTTCCTTTCTGCTGCTGTGACAAAACACCCTGAGCAAAAGCAACTTAGGGGAGGAAAGGGTTTATTTGGTTTATACTTCCAGGTCACAGTCTGTCACTGAGGCAAGTCAGGACAAAAACTCAAGCAAGAACTTCAAGCAGAAACCATGGAGGACAGCTGGCTTACAGACTCATGATTAGCTAGCTTTTTTATGTAGCTCAGAACTTGCCCAGGGAATAGTGCCACCCATAGTGGGCTGGGCCCTCCTACATCAATTTATAATGAGACAGTTCCCAAGAGATATGCCCACAGGTCAATCTGATCTGGGAAGTCCCCCAGTTGTGACTTGCTGTGTCAAGTTGACAGCCAAAGTTAACCAGACAAGCCAGAAACCACATTTCTAAGCCTAGACTTCTGCTCCTGAGAAAGCCATCCAGGCAGGAGTGCCACAGCTCCCAAGTCCCCAGCTCTGGGACCACAACACTCCAGCCTGGTAGGTGGCTACAGACATTTTGACCCAGCTTCTTCCTCCCTGCTCCAAGGAGCCTCTCTCAAAATGCTCTCCGTTCAGGGACCTCCTGCTCTGTGTCAGTTACTTTTCTCATTTCTGTAGCAAAATATCTGACAGAAGCAATTTAAGGGAGAAAGGGTTTATTTTGGCTCATGGTTTCAGGGGATTTTGGTCCATTATGGTGGAAAAGGCATGGATGAATGGTTTGTGCCAGCCAAAGTGTATTGAAGAGCTCCTAATGTGACAGACCAGAAGCAGAGAGTAATATGGAAACAGAGCCAGGCTAGAACCCTCAAATGTTCATCCCTAGTGATCCACTGCTACCAGCCAGACCACACCTCCTCAAAGGTCACACAACCTCCTAGATTGTGCCATCTGCTGAGGACAAGTATTCAAACATGTGAGCCTGTGGTAGACCTTTCATAACTAAACTATGGCACTTTCCTCTCCGGGACATATTCTCTGCCTGGTTCAGAAGGTGAAGTCTGGTTGGTGCTTTCTCTTTCTTCCCAGTTTCTATTGAAGGGCAGGGTGTGCAAATGCCCACCAGAGCCCATGTAGCAAGTTAGGCCAGAGGCTTCCATCAACCCAGACTCGCCTTTCTTGAAAGGTTTTTTTGTTTTTTGTTTTTCTGAGACAGGGTCTCACTCTGTGGCCTTGAGTTCTTGGCAATTCTCCTCCCTCAGCCTTCTGAGGATTACAGATATGAGCCATCAAGCTCAGCCAAAAGATCTGTTTATCCACAAGTAGCTGCCAATAACGGCTTTAGGTTTTGCATGCCAGGCCCTGTGTTCATGTAAGACAAAAGCAAAGCAAGGTATGAACATAAATACATGTTTTCCTTGTGTTCTGTGGGGTGTTGACAGGAGGCAACATCTGTGGCACTCAGAATCATTTGGAGGGCAATTGGCATTTGGACACTTAGCTGGACACCTCTAACATTGTTCTTTTCGGCTCACATCATCAGCTCTCATGGGTGCTTGGCGCTGAACCACAGAGTCCTTTTCGTTACCATGTGTACACACACACATACACATGTATACATACATGGACATCCATGTAACAACAGCAGTAGCATTATTTCTTAGTCTGCCTATTCAAAGTGACTCATTTCCTCTTCACATCAATCCTTTGCTATAGGTACAGAGTAGAAGAGTATGAAGTGGCATTTTAATCAATCAAATGGTTAGATATCAGCAATTTCATATGGTCTTACCTAATAGTTTTGTGCTTTCTATACAGGCAACAAAAGCATCAGCAAAGAGAGATCAAGTAATTTGCCCAAAGTCATGTAGTAGGTGGCAAAACCAAGATTCTAGCCTGATAATCTGATCCTAGGATCTGGTCTCAGCTCCTTTTCAATCTCAGCTCCTTTTCAATCAAGAACACTGAGGCAAAATAACAAACAGTGAGGCTGCCTCCAAATCTTTCTGCAGCAGATTGCTACTCTGTGCTTCTCTTTCTCCTCACTGAAGACCAGGAGACTGAGCTAAATAAAGGCAGACCAGGGGCCTATACCTGAGGTCCTTCGGGCCCTTCCTTCTCTGTGCTCTTGATCTCTTGATAGGGCTCCTTGTTGGTAGACTGAACATGTGCGCATGTGTGTGTGTGTGTGATAAGTTGGATGCTGCTCGATGAGACTCAGTAAATAACCTCTGGAAGTTTCTCCTGTCAGCCCTACTGGATGCCCCCCCTCCCTCAGCAAGTGTGTGCTCAGGCGGCCCTGGTGTGACCAGAATGTGTGTGTATACATGCCTGTTGGCATCGCCCAAATGAATCTCAGGTGCCTGCGTTGCATGAAGTCCCCTGGGATGGCATCTGTGCCTTGATCCTGAATCCCCCCATGGCCTCTGCCTGGCACAAGGAGACCCATAGTAAACGGCTTCTGTTGCCAACTGCCAGAGTTTGTGCCCAGGAGATAATTGATCCTTCATATTCATTGGCAGATTGGGCATGTGCAGGGGGAAGGGGAAGTTATAGGGGCAGAGCAGTGTGGCTGGGGACCTTGGAGGTACTGGGTAACCATCATGGCCCTGGTGACCCAAACTTGCCAGACACAGTTTGACAGATAGGGCCTGGCTGACAATGTTGCTAACAGGACTAGGCTGTTGGCACAACTCTTAGTGGGGTGCACTCATCCATGTCCAGCCATGGCTTTAATTCTCCTGCTAAATGCCCTGTCACTTAGAATTGAGATTGTGTCTACGGCGAGGTTTTGGATGGCAAGATTAATTTGTCATCTAGAATCTTTAGTGAGATCATTCTATCCTTTATGATCCCCTGACCACACTTTCCTGAACAACTAATTTCTCTTCCATTCCTCCCAATTAGCTGTGGATTAATGGAGATACTGATCAGATCCTCTCTCCCGGGAGAGCTTCCCTGGAGCTGCCCAGTCTGCTGTGTCAGCATCTGGCTCAGTTGTGAGCAGGCTAGACTATGGAGGGCAGGGACCCCCTGGGATGAATGCTTAGGGTCTGTGCCATCTGGGAGGGGTGTGGAAAGGTGCTCACAGAGTATCACATGAGATCAGTATCTATCTGTGATTTTGACATGTGTATTCCTAAGAGGCACTGAGGTGTCTGTTTCTGAACCCAGCCTTGTGAGAGTCATTGACATCCATCTGGTTCCTCCTTTAATGTCTCAGGCCAGATGAATCAAGGAGAAGGGTCTGGGTGGGCTAGTGTAGGGAAGATCACAGGGATGAGCCACACCTTTCATGAAGGAGATCCAGATGGCCCAGGATGTGGCTAAGACTATAGGGCATGGCTGCCACCCTTCCCTCACACTGTTACTGTGATCCAGACACTTTCTAACAGCCCTTCTGTTCTCCTTGCAGGTGCCTACCTGGTGCCTTATCTGGTGCTGCTGATTATTATTGGCATTCCTCTCTTCTTCCTGGAGCTGGCTGTGGGCCAGAGGATCCGCCGTGGCAGCATCGGTGTGTGGCACTACGTGTGCCCCCGCCTGGGGGGCATCGGCTTTTCCAGCTGTATTGTGAGTCCAGAGCTGGGGGCCAGCACTAGGCGGGAGGGGCCCTTCTCAGGTTCCCAGGAGGTCAGCAAGTTTACAAACCAAGAATGAGGGGGGCCATCAACAGAATTATTTGCACTGATGTCTCAGGGTCATAGTCATCTTATTTCCCAAGCTGAACATTGACTACACTGTGTCCATATGTAAGAGTAGGGAAGTCCTCCATTTGGACTGAAAACACCCCAGTAAAGAAAATGAATGCCTCTGTCTCAGTTTATTCCAGCACGGCCTGCTCTGTGTATATGAGCCTATGTTCCTCTACACGGGTGGTCATGGAAAAGGGTAGAAACTAGGGACCTTCTGTGGTCACGATAACCAGGAATCTCACCAGTACCTGAGATAGCCAGGTACCTGGAAGGGATCTCTTAGCATCAGGAGCAGATGCAACAAAGCCCTGCCTGTAAAACATTACTAGACCCTCCTATTTTAATAAAATTCTGCTGAGTTTAGTTGCTGTGCTTCTAAGAAATGAAAAATTATGTTTTTCTAGAGGTGGACTGCAAGTAGTTCCAAGGAAAGAGTAGTATCCTGAGAGAAGGGAAGACATAAGAGACTAGTAGTACACACAATCTTAAAAGGTACAGTTGTCTAGGCTTTAAGGACAAAGGACAAAAGCTGTGGTGAGCCTCTGTGGTCCTGGAGGGCATCTCTAATTAGAATCCTGAGTCATCAGGAAATGATGGGGGAAGGGCTTCAAGTATCTTACAGGAATTCAAACTGGAAAAGATTAGCATTTTAAGAGTTTGTTGCTTAAAGGAGAAAATTTTAATATCCCAGGAATTCCTTTGTGGACTGCCTGAATTCCAGATGAATGGAGGAGGACTGGGACCAGGCCCTCAGCTTCTCCCCCACATCCCCATCATCCTCCATCATGGCAGGGTTTGGTGCTATTCACTTGTGCTGCTGGGCCTTAGATGGAGGTCAGGGAAGGGTGGCATTGCCTGTAGCCTCTACAATCCCACCCTTGGCCCCTGTCCTCAGGTCTGCCTCTTTGTCGGGCTGTACTACAATGTGATCATCGGGTGGAGCATCTTCTACTTCTTCAAGTCCTTCCAGTACCCACTGCCCTGGAGTGAATGTCCTGTCATCAGGAATGGAACAATAGCAGGCAAGTGTGGACCCCCCAGGGACTCCAGCTGGGGTATCTAGCCTACCCTGCCTCAGGAAGTAGTCTGTTTAGTGCTCAGGTTCAGAATTGCACTGGTTCATTGAGTCACCTTGAGGAAGCCACTTCATACCCTGATCCTCATTTCTTTTCCTTTCCCTGTGGAATTATCTAATGATGTCCTTTGTCCTGGCCCACAGGGTTCTTAGAAATAGAATAAATAATGACTGAAAGAAAGGCTCTGGAAGTATGACTTTTTTTTTTTAACTGTTGTGAACTTCTGTACTACTCTAATAGCATATGTCCAAGGACAATCTTAATTTATATGCAGCAGACTGTCCCACTTCACAGACAGCAAAACAGAGGTCCTCAAGCACTATCCCATGATCACACTATCTGTGTGACTAGTAATCTGAGATAACAATCCAGCTCCCACCTCAGGGCCTTCCCCCCAAGAACCTTTAGGCCAATTTGGCCCAGTCTTTCTTGCCTTTATGAATTAGTGGACAGGGGGTGGCCTGGGTATAAATTCAGCTGTGATTTGTGGCCTGAAGTTTCCAGGCCCCACTCAGGTCCCAAGACTCCTCGGGGAATGAATTCCATGGTCAACCTGGAATGAATGCAGCCTCTTTTTCTGGCTGCCCACCCTCAGCCACCTACTCACCCACAACTGCCTGGGCAGGATCCTTCGGAGGAGATGGCCCATAGGGATGGACACTGAGGCCCTGTGACCCTTGGTGTGGTTTCAGTGGTGGAGCCTGAGTGTGAGAAGAGCTCAGCCACTACCTACTTCTGGTACCGAGAGGCCTTGGACATCTCCAACTCCATCTCAGAGAGTGGAGGCCTCAACTGGAAGATGACGCTGTGCCTCCTTGTGGCCTGGAGCATCGTGGGCATGGCTGTGGTCAAGGGCATCCAGTCCTCAGGAAAGGTGAGTTGGGAGAGGGCAGTAGAAAGACCCAGAAAGCAGGAGTTGGGCTCCTGGGCTACCAAAGAAGAACACTCCAGGTGACAGCACTGGCCTCATGGAGATGGGGGTAAGCATTGCCACTGCAGACAGCCCACCGGGGGTAAGCTTCCTGGAGAGCCGTTGCCATATCCATCTGCATTGATGCTTACATAACTTAGGCCTGCTCTGCAGATGCTAAGGAGAAGGAAAGCTAGAGGTGTTGACCCAGGGATGATGCTGCCTGTCTAGATTCTGCCTCCTCAGGTTCCTAAGCAAAAGCCCTTGCATAGCATACTTTAAGCAGTTTTTGATGAAACTCTGCAACTTACCCTGCAGGTGGAGTACTTACAGGCCCCAGGAGCAGTCCAGTCTTTGAGGTACATAATAGCCAGGCCACACCTACCTTTCCAGCAGTTCCAATTATAGAGAGTCTATTTCTTATTTATGACTTACTAGAATTTGTGGATGGAAAGGATGACAGACATCCTAGCCTGTTTTATAGAGACCCAGAAAGCAGGAGTTGGGCTCCTGGGCTACCAAAGAAGAACACTCCAGGTGACAGCACTGGCCTCATGGAGATGGGGGTAAGCATTGCCACTGCAGACAGCCCACCGGGGGTAAGCTTCCTGGAGAGCCGTTGCCATATCCATCTGCATTGATGCTTACATAACTTAGGCCTGCTCTGCAGATGCTAAGGAGAAGGAAAGCTAGAGGTGTTGACCCAGGGATGATGCTGCCTGTCTAGATTCTGCCTCCTCAGGTTCCTAAGCAAAAGCCCTTGCATAGCATACTTTAAGCAGTTTTTGATGAAACTCTGCAACTTACCCTGCAGGTGGAGTACTTACAGGCCCCAGGAGCAGTCCAGTCTTTGAGGTACATAATAGCCAGGCCACACCTACCTTTCCAGCAGTTCCAATTATAGAGAGTCTATTTCTTATTTATGACTTACTAGAATTTGTGGACTACCAGGGATGGAAAGGATGACAGACATCCTAGCCTGTTTTATAGACATGGAAACTGAGGCCCAGACAGGAGGAAGCACCTCACCTAATGTCATATAGCTAGTCCATCTGGGCTGAAACTGGAGCCCTGGCTGGCTAGTTGAGGCTCTTGGTTCTTTGTCAGACTTGATGAGTAATGAAGCTAAGTTCTAGAAAGGTGGTATCATCCCAGCCATTGGCTCCCTCCCTCTTCAGAGGCCAAAAAAGTAGCTGATGCTTCATGGCATATATTAGGACTTCCACATCTCACCAACCTTATGAGTTAGGAATGTTAACATCCCTTTTAGAGATGGGGGAAATGGAAGCATACTGAGATTAAGTAAACAGCCTGAGGCCTCAGGGTTGGTCCATGGTAGCTGCAGGATCAGCACTCAGAGATCTAGCTCAGGATACACAGCCTCTTAGCCTTTCTGCTGCCCTGTCCTTTATGTTCCCAGAATTTGCTACAGTGCAGTCGAGGTTCTGTAAGCACGTTGTTTGTCTGTGGCTTTGCACCAGGCACACAGAACTGTAGAAAGGTACATAACACGTATCTGCTAGCAAATAGCCCATGATTCAGGTTCAGGATCGCCAGCGCCTGGGCTCTTTTCTGATGGACTCTGTTTACAGCATCCTAGATGCTATTGGAGCTCTAAGGACAGGGGAGGTTCTAGAAGGGTCTACTAGGGATGTGACACTGGGAAAATAAGGAGGGAGAGCATAGGGTTTCCTCACCATACAACAGCCATTAGGAATAGGGGCCGCCAGCCCAGCCTCAACAGCCCTTGAAAGGCAAACCAGCCCCCTAGGCACCGCCATGCTGACTCCAGCTTGTCCTGCTCCTGCTTCTGCCTGGGCTCAGGGCCAGATGGATGGTGGGTTTGGCTCAGTGCCCAGGGGCTCCAGGCACTGCATTCTGCTGCCTGATATCAGAGGAGGATCATATGACCCAGCTGTGAGCAAGAAAGAGAGGTGCCAGCTGCAAGAGGAGCTCTGCATAGCAGAGGGCTCTGCCTGACAGGGGGCTCTGTCTAATGGTGGGGGGGTGCTCTGTCTTCTCTGCAGGTAATGTATTTCAGCTCCCTTTTCCCCTACGTGGTGCTGGCCTGCTTTCTGGTCCGGGGCCTGCTGCTTCGAGGGGCCGTCGATGGCATCCTACACATGTTCACTCCCAAGGTAAGAATTTGTGGCTCCCATATGCTGGGGAATCCTGGCAGGTCTACTGGACCTGGTCAGCTTCATGCAGTTTCACACCCAACACCTGCTGTATGTCAGGTGCTATGCCAGACCCTGAAAGAAGGCACAAGGAAGGGGCCATAGGCCCTGCCTTCAGCTTCCAAGGAGAGGGACATTACATCAATTTGGGTGAAACCACAATAGGCTCCAGGAAAGAGGTGACATCCAAAATGAGCCTTGCAGAGCAGGTAAGACTTCAGTGAGTGCCAGTTTGATTTATTAACCAAAGCGAGCCACATGAGCAAGGGTGTGGAAAAGCACTGGGCATGTCTGCAGCAATGGTGGAGAGGCAGGTCCCACTGAAATGTGAGGCAGGAAGCTTCATGCGTTCATTCATGTGGGGGGCTTCATTTCGTGGATCTGTGACAGCAGGAGCCAAGAAGATGTCTAAGAAGAGAACTCTCCTGAGGAATCCCAGTCTGTACCCAAACCAAGGGAAAAGGGAACCCACTCAGGCCTCTCTGCCTCAATTGCCTGTGAAGAGGCTGGACAGGATCTTTGTTCACAGAGGGTGCAGCTAAGGCACAGCTGTCCTGAAGGCAGCCAGTTCCCATCCCATGCCCCTCTATGACCCTTCAGAACACTGGATACATTCACTTACTTGAGTCAGTCCACTGGGGAATAAGAGGATTTCAAACACAGAGGACGTAGCCTCCAAATTGCCCTAAGACAGTGCAAATCATCATACCTTCCAAATCCCAGCTTATTAGTAGCAGCCAGGAGGGGCCTTCAGAGACTCTGGCCCATGGACACAGAATCAGACTGGGCAAGACCAGTTTGAGACCTCAGGGCTCTGTAGGGCCACCTTATTTACGTACACAAATGTATATGCATACTTCTTTATACAGATGGTTCACATAGGGTGGGTGCACAAGACTCAAGAGTCTATAGAGCCTGAAGTCCCTAGGTCCCGCTGACTCCCCTGCCCTGCTCCTGTGAGTAGGCTGCTGGTGTGGGGAGGATGGCCAAGGTCAGGATCTGTACCATCCCACAGTCACCAGACTGCACTCTCTCGCCCTAGGTGTCCTTGGGCTGAACAACCAAGGGCTCTACAGGCATACCCACACTACAGGCATACTCACAAAGGCCCACCTTGTGAAGCACAGGTGAATCTTCTTAGGAATGATTGTGAATCCCCTGGAGTTTAAGTATGTCATATCTGGTAGAGATGACCTCCTAGTTTCTTTGGGGTAAGTGGTCATGAGAGGAAAGCCATATGCTTCTATGAATCACTTCAGGCATAGTGCTGGAATCATGATCAATCTCAAATTCACTTGAGTCTTTAAGTTATGTTTTACTGAGATTTATGATGGAATTATATGCTCTGGTGATGCACATAAATGTAGACCTTCAGAAAGGTCTCTAGATAGGTCCCTGATGGAGTTAAGAGTCACTGGTATGAAACTCCAGAAACTAGTGGAACAGACTTGCCAGGATCAGGCACCAGTCCCAGCACACACAGTGCTGCATCTTACTGGACTCAGACACTTTACAATGTCTCCTTAATTATGAAATGCTTCAGCATATAAATTTCTATCCAATGATATAATAGGCATTCTTAAGTAAAATATTACAGCTGCCATTAAAGTGCCTTTGTAACCCTCTCTGGTTTCATATTCTTCTCCCTTCTAAAAGGCAGCCACTGGCAACCTGTTCTTGCTGTTGTAAGAAAATACCTTAGACTAAGTAATTTATGAGCAAAAGAAATTTATTGTCCATGGTTCTAGAAGCTGAGAAGGTAAAGGTCAAGGCATCAGCAGATTCTGTGGTAGAAGGGACTTGCTTTAATTTTGATTAACACTATTTTTACTTACATTGATATATGGAGCTCTAGTACATCTATTTTCAGTGTGGTATAGTATTTCACCACAGGACTAAACTAAAAGGTTTATTCATTCTCTAATTGGTGACAGTTTAAGCAGTTTCCAGTTTTTATCATTGCTGATAAGGCTGTAATAAACATTATTACAGAAGTCTTCATACACATTTCTCTAGGGTATATATGTTTAAGAGTGGAATTGCTGTCTGAAAGGGGATGTATACCTTCAGACAAAATACTTTCCATATGATTGTATCCACAAATACTCCCACATGAATCTCAGTCATCCACATTTGCCAGACTTCATTTTTGTTCATCAGATGGATGTATATGGCTGATGTGCACTTTGGACAACAGGGGCAGCTCCCTTCTCAAACCATTTCCTGGACATCCAGGAAACCATGTGAATCTACCATTTGCAGAGGCCAGAATCTTCTGACTTGAGAAATCAAACCCAGAAGACCCTGAAGAAGACAAGTTCCCAAGAACCAGCATGACAAGCTCATGACTCCTTGGCCTTCAGGTCTAAATGGACCCTCTGGGACCCATCTTGACATTGTGTCCCCTGAGCAGTTTCATGGTTCAGCTCCTGACCTTGATGCTGGTGGACTGTACTGAACAGGGAGAGGAGGCCAAGAGGACCTGAGAACAGACTCCTTATCAAGGGCCCTGAGGCAGGCTGTGCCACTGTTTGCCGGAGTAGGCACCTAAGACCTGCTGGAGTGAGGTTTCTATTTATAGATACTTCCAGGTTCTCTGAAGAAAGGATGCACCTACTCTCAGCAGTAGCCACCCAACATGCATGCTGAGGACCATTGTATCAGCCACCCAACATGCATGCTGAGGACCATTGCAGAGCTTTGACTTTTTCAGGACTGGGAGATATGGGGTCTCTAGGGCCATTTAAAGTTCTCAGTGCCATAAAGTACCAGGTCACTGCCCATAGCTGTGCAGTATGGACCCTGTTTCATTCATAGAGGCTGCAATATCAGTAGCATCCCAAGAAGTTATATTTGACATCCTGAGCAGAATCCAAGGAAACTTTGAGCCAGGGCATCTCAGAACTCATGTAGGAAAAGCAGATTCTCTATGGACTATGCCAGATGATGTGGAAGTCCTTTCTTCCTTGAAGGCTTCTGACATCAGAAATGATCCAGGGTATAGGACCTGTACTTTCTCTCCCTGTTTGCTATCAGAGAGCAGGTGGATCTGATGGTTGCAGTTTGGCCTGGATGAAATGATGACCCAATAGCACCTCTAATGGGACAGTAACTGGTGTTAATGGCTAATGAACTTACTGAATTTCCCAGGTAGTTTTTTCCCTCATTATTTCTTTCATTCAGTTACAGAGCCAGGGCAGTATAAGTGCCGTGAATTTTTATGCATTTTCCCAACACACAGTGCTGATTTCTGTTGTGTTTTTCAACCACATAAACCTCTCAGGGACTCAGAACTAGGAATGTTCATGTTCCTTGGCCCAGCAATTTCACTTCTAGGTATTTTTCCTGCAGTTGCACCCATACGTAAGCAAAATGGTCAGTGCCCAGGGTTGGTCACTACAGTGTTTATTTTATCAGCAAAAGTAAAAATATTCCAAATACCCATCATTCATTTATAAATTCATCCAGCAAAGGTTCACTGAATGTCAGGCTCTGTTCTCAATCCGGGGATTCAGCCATGAACGAAGCAGACAAACCTCCCAGCCCTCAGAGATGATTATATAAAACAAGATGAAGAGCAGTTGTTGAGTGGTGTCACTGAGGAGAACAAAGCCGAGAACGTAGAGTTAGAGTATCTAGGGAGACGAGTTGCGTTTTTAGATAGTGTGATCAAGGAAGGCCTCACTGAGAAAGAACATTTGAATGGTGTCCAAAGGAGGTGAGGCTGCATGTTACACAGAGATGTGGAGGTCACACATTCTATTCCAGATAGGGACTGAGTGAAAAGGGCTTGAGAGTGGAGTACCTCGCATATCCCAGGGGGTCACTGGGCTGGACAGAATGGGAGAGAAGCAGGCAGGAATGGCCTCTGGATAGTATAATGCCAGGCCATTAGTTTCTGGGAGGCTCTGTAAGTACTTAGTCATTTCCTCTGTGAAGTTCTGGGGAGAAGAGCAATATGACATGGTCACTTCAAACCTCTTAGGAGCCCACCATAGAGAATCCAAGGGGAAGAGAGACCTGCTCAGAGGGTCACTGGGTGAGAAGTGACTGCTTGAGCCTGGTGGTGATGGGAGTGATGAGAGGTGGTTGGGCTGAAGATGCACTTAGGAAGCAGGAACAGTAGGATTTGGAGGGAAAGAGTCAAGAGTAACCCCAAGGTCTTTTGCCTGAGACATCATAAGGATGAAGTTGACATTTACAGAGATGGAGGGTGAAGGCGGGAGAGTCAGAACTCAGTATTCCAATATTTGGGGACACCCAAAATATTATTTTGGAGATAGTAATTTCAAAATGTAAAATAGATAAGCAGGTGAAGATGCTGAGTGGCAGTTGGCTCTATTTGGAGGTCACAGGTGAAGGTACAGATTTGAGGGTCTGGGGTAATGGAAATGAAAGCAATGTCTTGGTTCATAATCACCTGGAAAGTGAACATTGTCAGATAAAAGGACTGAGCCCTGGAGTCCTGGGTTGAGGGAGAGATAGCTGGTAAGGGAGCAGGAGGACAAGGCAGCACATCCTTGAGGCAGAGTGGAGGAAATGTCTGCGTAAAATGGGTTGATCAGGTGATGAGCACTGAGCAATGACCAATCACCAGGCAGCAGAGGTGTCACTCAAGATCTTGACAAGAGCTGTCTTGGCAGAATACTGGGGATAAATTCTAGTAGTAATGGGAAAATGGGAGGTGGTGAATTAGAGACAAGTAGTAAAGACCACTTACATTCAGTAATTTCGCCATAAAGGGAAGCAGAAGAATGAGAAATGTGCTAGTAACTGGAGAGAGCCATGGGGTCAAGGATCTTATTTCAGAATTTTATGTCATGATGAAAATAATCCATTGAACATTGATGGTGAGAATTTAAAATAGTCCAGTGACTTTGAAAAGCAGTCTAGCAGCTCCTCCAAAGATTAAACAGAGTTCACCTAAGATTCAATAATTCTACTCCTAGGCCTATATCCAA